AAAGAGGGGGAGGAGGGAAAAAAAGCAACACTACAGTGTTAGAAAACACACAAAGTTGGCAACACTGGTTCGCATTCAACCTTTTTCCAAGTAATGTAAAGCAGAAAAAGCATCTTCGTTCCATTTTACCACACTTTTCTTCAAGTGAATTGATAATCAAAGTCTTGTCCAGCACCTGATGGAGCAAAGCCTACACCCCATATCAGTACGACTGTCACTACACAAGGACTGTGGGTTGGCATTGCTCTTCTTGTAGTATTAATTAAGGCTAAGCCATGCTCTTCTATAATGAAGAATTCAAATATTCAAGCTTCTATAAAGAACTAGCTCCTCTCCTGCCTCGCATATTTGAGAGGCATTGAAAACAGTCTCTCTTAACTGCTGCTGCCTAGAACTTCGCTGAACCGAGCTGTTTCACACACTGTTTTTTCATTACCCTGAAGAGAATCACAAAGTAAAAGATCTGCATATCCTCTGCTATTCTCACTCGCTCTGAAGAGTTATTGCCTGAAATAACACATGCATAAGATTATTTTTTTTTTTAATCCATAAAAGTTCTCATTACCTGATTCAAATATGCAAATATTCCAAGTTATTCATGTCTACCAGAGCAAGCCTTTATAGGAATTTGCTTTTTGCAATCTCTTGACGGGAACTGTTGAACAGATGAAAATTTTATTTGGATAGAAAATAAAACAGGACAACAAATTTAAAATATTCCCTTAAAGCAATATAAACGCACACATACAAAGGTGTATGCATAGTCTTGCAGCCACATCATAGATACCACATGAGATAAATTTTGTACATTTTACTGTGGGAAGACATCTAAAAAGGACCCGTCAGCCCACATATGACATGATGCATGTAGCACCTATTCTGTCATTTATATTCAAGAGTCACAGCTGGAATTTCCTGATCAGTGCAGAGAATAAAATACTCTAACTACATTCACTTACTACATTTGCGAAATCGCAGGTAATTTGCAAGCCTGTAGGTACACTAAGTCAATCAAATTAATCATTGCAAATCATTATACTCCCTTTAGAACAGTTTTGCTCTATAGATCCCTGAGCCTGACAGGTATTATTTTCCTTACTTCACAGAAGGGGAAGCTGACGTAAGCAGGATTACGTAACTTGTTCAGGTCACCCATCAATTCGGTGACAAGCCAAGGCTTTAAGCTCCAAATCTCCTTGAACTCTTGATTTTTCAACACTGCTGCTTTGGGCAGGAAGCAGAGCATGCCTTATCCAATAAAAGCTGAGGTAGAATTTAGGAAGGCCAGTGCAAGGGTATATGTCAAAATATGGCTAGCAAAGCAAATGTAGCAACCTTATCCTTTGGAAAAACAGCACGGTATACTTAACCACCAGAGGTTAATAATCTTGGCATTGCTTCTTAAAGTCACACAGCTACAGATGCCATGGCTGGGTAGGTTGTTTCCTCTTCTTCATAAAACTGAAGTCTACCTGATTAATGCAGTCCTGTATTAGTTATTTATTTGCCACACATGAGTGATTCTTCTTGCCATGGACTATGCTGCACCAAAGGCTTTTTTTCAAGGGGTTACAGTTTCTTATCCATGTGGTAGGATAAGAGGCCAGCTGAATGCTAGAGACCATTGTAGTATTTCACATACAAGGAAGCTGAGACTTTTTGTGCAAAATAAAAGCAATAACATAGTTAAATGGTACCATCCAAATAAGAAACTTAAGACTGCAGATCTTTTTGTTTTTTTTTTTTTTTAATCTTGAAATTAAAATAATTGCAGTATTAAATAAGAATGTATCAGCATCATTTTCTAAAATAACAATGAACCATACTTACTGCTGCATTTTAGAGCAACAGTACCATATGGGAGAATCTAGTTCAGTCTTCTCAAGATAGCTGAAACTGCTCTCTGCAGTGAGGTGTAGGTGTCTGCAAATTACACAGCTTCTTGAGTCAGTGCCGATCTGGATTGCCCCATTCATAATTAGACTTTTGATTGGTACCTATCCAGATCATCTCATTCATAGTATGATTTACAAGCAGGGATGGAGACAGACAGGCAAAGCAGTAATTGAGGGAATACCAGAAGAACTGCTTTCACATGACAGAAGTATTTCCTACACCTGCTATTGTCAGAAATTCCTTAGACAGTTTGCTTTGCAAATATGTATCCACTGCCCATTGAATCTGTCCTCTTTGGGGATGACTCCAGTCCACTTAAAATTAGAGCTGAATAATACATGCCCATTGCATCTGGAAACTAGCAAAGCTAAAGATCCACTGAGAGCTTAAGTTGTGCTTGTTCCAAGACCTCAAGAACATTAAGAGTGCATGCTGTAACTGTTCAGGGATCTTTCTTAAATATGTGCAACTTTTTAATCCATGCAATGCATGTAAGTGAAGATAACTTTAAAGTAAATTGATAAAATTAAGGTGACTGATTTTAGCTACTCCAATCACTAGAGCACATTGTTATAGTCTGCATAATCTTTTCTCTCCTATATGCAGCACAGGCACAATACATAAAATGTTAACAGGCCTGATCCTGCAGGACCCTGAACTCAAAGGAACTGAAGGTAACAGACAGCAGCACCAGACTTTGTGGTTTCATGTGACATGAATTAAACTGCAGACTATGTACATAATATCAACTACTTGTGGTCTAGCTGTGTATCTCAAAAGCCAATAGAAACACCGTAGAATATTTTGTGTTTTACAGAGTATGTATTTAAACATATTTTACCTTGATAATGTTCTTGACTACATTAAAAAAAAAAAAGAAAAAAAAAAGCCCCACTCTACCTGGTGCTACAAAGGAAAATAAAATGTATACATTATATGGACCTAAGGTAATATCAGATGAAAATCAAATGTTACATGATATTCTTGTCTCCAGTGTAGAAAAGCAGAAAAACTTACAGTAAATTACCTCCTTTTCTTATGTCTCAAATGAGGAAATTGCTATTACTCGAGAAACATTAGTAGGTGGTTACAAGATACCATAGTGAGCTTCAAAAAAAAAAAAAGTTTTTACTATGTCAAATTAAAGAACAGGTTTTCATTTGTACACACAGATAACAGATACACAGACAACTTTAATTTGACATAGTATATATAGTGTTTAAAAAACAGGAGGGAGGGGGAAGTGGTCAGTCTGATCTCTGTGATCAATACAAAAGCACTGGACACCTGCTGAGCTGTTCAGGAAAAGCAACAATTCTTGAACAATACATCAACACTGAAGTTTGCAGAACTATAACACTTTCAGAGAACATTCTGCTTTTATGCACTGTCTTAGCTAGAGTTTTCTTGATCATATTGGTAAACAACTCTTTCACCTGATTTCTGTCCTTGACAAAGAAACTGCAATCAGTGTTCAAAATCTATTCTAAAAAGTTAAAGAAATAGCAAATTCTCTGAGAGATCCGAAAAGAAAGAAACCAACCCAGCTGCTTTATAAATGAAGAGAAAAATCACCAATCTTAAACATTACCAGTTGGAAGTCTCCAGTCCCCTTAGGTACTCTCATTATTTTAACATGCACTTCATGCCTCTTCAATGTCTCATTTGCTCCTTCAGCCTGTCATTATTATGAGGTTTTATGACTTTCTGAATTGAAAAACACAAATTATAAGGTTAAGACACATCTAACTCTTTCCTAACAGGAAAGATATTGCCATTTGACACAATCTCTCACAATTTATTTTAATATCTGAAACCGTAACCCAGCACTTCAGTTGTATGTAAGAAAGAAACATGAGTAAAAGTTTAAGTTCTTCTGTAAAGCAGAAAAGAAACTGTTTCCAAAACAAACAAACATGGACTCAACAGGTGTACAAAAACAGGGAATACCTGAAGAGATCTGTGGTATACACTGTATCTGTGCTTAGAAGTGGGAAGCACTAACAAGTTTTGTTAAAAAAAATAAATAAACTAAAAAAAAAAAAAAAAAAAAAGAGAGAGAGAGGGACAGAGAGAGGGAGAGAGACTAAGACTAAAGTACCTGTAAACAATTCACACTACAGTTTACTTACAGGTACTCTATAAAGACAACTTTATGAATAACAAAGTGGGAAAATCTATGACAGAAAAAAATATAAAGCAGGTAATATTGTACCTCAGTCCAATGAGAACAGAACTGTAATAGAGTTGAAGAGAGAAGTTGAAAAAGTAACCTGAAATTTTGACTTTTTCAGACTGTCTAAAATTATGTTTCACCTGAATGGCTACAATTCTTCTGGATTAATTCATTTACAAGGCACCACTTGCAGGTCTCAAACACAGCTAACAGAGAAACTAGAAAATCAAGGGACAGCTTCAAATACATGAAGAATTGTTCAATTTTCCATCACAGCAGCTTTGAAATACCTTCATTAAAAATACATCCAATTTACATTTCAGTGAGTCATTACCTCTGACTACCATTGTCAGGTTCCAAAATATTTTTAAAGTAACAAAATAAGCCATGCATATGGAAGAGACTGCTTTAGCATTCTTTTAAAGTAACCCTGTAATGAAAGCAGAATAGGATTGATATAAAAACCTCCTTGTGTGTAAACTTGAGAAAATGAAACTCACAAAAAGACGAAATCCTGTTTACAAAATCACATATGAAGAGAATTGCCTGTGACGGGCTCTAACTGCAGCCTCCTGATCCGGTCTGTCTGATGAAGCCTCTCTCTGAATAAGCCCATACCACAAGCCCCATTTTGCAGTCACACAACAAAACAAACTGAACAAAAAAGGAAATCCCAACTATATTTCAGTTGTTAGCATTTTGTTCTTGCTGGAAAGCAGCACACTGAAAGAGGCGAACTCCCACAAAAGCAGCAGCTGATATCTAACATATCGTGGTAGAGATAATTATTTAACAACAACTTACATAAAGCCCACAAAAATAAAGTCAGCTCTTTATAGGAGGGGAGTTTTCTTGTTGTGACGGGCTGTATTTTATCGGTAAGCCACGGTGTGGGCAGGGGAGGCAGGGGTACTGAGCTGTCTCTTACCTGAGCTGATCATACTGTGCATTCTTTGCTGAGCCAAGAGCTGTTCGCGTCCAGAAACCCCATCTGAGGAAAAACACGATTCACTCTCGTAAATTGTCTGCAGCATATTCCAACCAGTCTGCACTTCAGCTACACGAGAGAGTCATCACTGCACTTGTACAGGGGCGTCAGGCACGACCCTCTGCTGTCCTACCTCCTCCAGCCAGGCTTGTCAGACAGCACACTTCGGTAATTAGCAATGTGTAAGCATTTGTACAAGTATCTACTAAGAGAGAAAAGACAAAATCCACTTTACACAGCTGCAAGAGGGCAGGAAGCACACGCTGGACTGTGCACCCCTGAGTTTGAGCACTTGTACTCTGGAAGCCAACAGCAGGTGGAAGAAGAAATGCAGAAGAAATATCTCGGTGCTTCAGGCTTTCTCGTGTGCGTGTGTACGTGTGTGTGTGTGTGCGTGTGTGTGTGTGCGGGGGGGGAAGGCAGCCTCTCGCAAAGCACACCCAACGAGCACGTTTCCAGGGCTGCCGGCCCCACCAGGTTCAGTTCTAGTCACCCCACTGTCACGAGTGCCTCTGTCCCCCGGCCGCCCCTCGGCCCGGCTGGTGGAGTTGGCCAGGGCAGTGACAACTCATTTGCATTCAAATCAACAACAGCGTGGCCCAGCAGCGGCAGAAATAGAACAATGGCTGGCCTGAGCCAAAAATAGGTCAAGCGCGGCCGGGTGATTGGAGCCTGCATTAATGCGTTTAAAAATACCACAGCAAACACAGCTGTCCAGTCTCTGTCTTTCAAACTGCAATCCTCCCTCATCCTCAAGCATAATTAACCCTTTCCTGCTGCCAAGCCTATTCCTGTGACAAAAAGCAAGGGTGGGTGGGAGAGCGCCCAGTCGGCAGCGCTCCTCGCCCCCCGCCCTCCCCTCACCTGGCAGCGTTGGGTGAGAAGCGAGCAAAAAAAAGAAAAAAAAAAAAAAAGAAAAAGAAAAAAAGGCCTCTGTATCGCTTCCAAAACAACGCTGGGAGCTCTTGCTCGCAGCGTGGTTTCTGCCGCGCCCACGCACAGCAATCCCGCGGTGCTATTTTTGCTGCCCGCTTCCCGGGCTCCGCGGCCTGCAGGCGGCCGGCGGGCTGGGCAGGCCGGAGGCGCAGGCCCATGGTGACGGGGCAGCTGGGCTGTTGCTCACGGCTATAAGCAGTGCTTCCATATTTAGCACGCCTGGTACAGCGCTTATAGTCCAGCACCAGTTGTGGCACGGCATATTCGACATGCCTGCCTACTGTGCAGCGCTCTGCTGGCGTACTGAAATGTGGTTCGCGTTTATCTTCAGCAGCATTAGGTAATTTGTACTGCGTCTCTCTCAGTTTGACGAGGCGATGTGGTTTCAGAATGGCAGCGTCTGACTACAGATCAGAGCAAAGCACCATGCTGCTCTACGTCCTGGCAGGCTTCATGCATGCTCTGTTAAGTTAATTTTTCATAAAGACATTTCAAAAGTTGCATAGCTTTTTTGCTGATTAATATACCCACATGTAGGTAAGGAAAGTGTTACCAGTGATACTTTACCTCCTTGGCATCCTGCTCTGCAATATGCTGTTTGCTACACAGGTGACCAACACCTGTCCCTACCTACCTATACAACTCCTGGCCACACACACGCCAAAAATTCTGAATCCCTTTCCCTGTCCTGGCCACGGGCAACTGACGGTGGCAACAGGAATGTGAATACTCACTGGGATCAGGAAACCATTGCAAAGGTTGTCTCAGAGACTTCTAGAGATCCACCAAATCCTGAACTACCCCAAGCACCTGTGCTTGAAGATGCAAGGACAGTGCATAATACCTGAAGCTCAGTTCTGCCTTTCAGCCAAGAATTGGCTGTCTGCTCTTCAGCTAACTCAACAGATTGCAGTGAAGGGCAATATTATTTTTTTTAACTTGTCACAATTCTGCTCTCAAAGAAAAGATTTTCAATAGCAAGGTACTGTGACATCACTAGATGATATTTGGAGATGTAGGGCATCTGGGAGCTGTGAAGCTCAAGGCTGCTCCCTTCATCCCAAACCTTCTCTTACTCCATGTGCCAAACAATCTAGACCTGCTGAGGGCTGGGATCTGTTCCTTGGACAAATGGATACTGCAACAGCTGACAATGGGATTTTCCCTGTGGGATCCTTGAGTTAGCACTTTGCACTGCTCAACACCCCCCTCTCCTCATCTTTCCTCTTCACCCAGCTTACTACATACACACATGAACTACTTTCCTTTACTGTACTTTTCCTTTACTTTTCCTTTTTCTGTAAAGAGGAAGAGTCCTGCCAGACAACAGGCAAAGAGGAGAGGTGTACTTCTGTGGAAGCAGAAAAGCTCCGCTGACAGCATAAACCCAGCTCTGCAAAGGGGCATCGACACAGGTAGGATGCTACAGTGCAAGCCAGAGGATGAGCAGCACATGTATCAGCTCATATTGACAGCTGGCAACTTGGTATCACGAACACTAGAAGTAATACTCATAGCACTCTCAGGGCCTGTGCTAGAAAGTTATCTGGGATTCAGACTACTCAGTAATCGATGATTCCAGTTGGTCCCCAGAAAGGCTGGGTCTCTCTGCTTCATCCATGGTGCCCCAGGGGTTCCAGGTCTTGGTGCTGCTCCCACAAAGCTCCAGGAGACCTGCTTAAACCCCTGCAACCCCATCGATGCTGGAGCCATTTCAGCCTCTAATAATGTTAGGAAGTGGATAACCTGAACTGAGAAAGCTGGAAAAGCAAATGTTCATTTATATCTTGAGAGAAAAAAAAATCAAAATGTTTTGTGGGAAATACAAGGCACTTGCATGGTGCAGGGCAGAAGATGTCTAACAAGGGTGCAGGGGGAATCACCAATCTTTCAGCAATCTTTCCTAACACAGAAAAAGCTTTTTATAGACAGAAGTAAATAAAAAAAAATGGAATTGCTTATGCCCTTGAGCCAACAAGAACATGACCCTGTTTAGTGATTCAATGCCTCAAAATAATTGAGTCTCGTATTACAGGGAAACACTGCAGGAATAAGTTAAAAACAGGTCATAACACAGAAAATTCTGGAGTGTGGGATCCTCGTATTAGATACCCATATGTGTTTTTAAGTCCTTGTATATGTGGCTGCATTTTTTAAGATAGAAATCACGCTCTGACTGATTAAAAAAAAAAAAAAAAAAAAAAGCAAACTATTTTCAAGAGTAGAAAATGTACATTCAGAGGTTTATCTGCAAGCACTCTTAATTTTGGTATATATATTTTAAAATAACAGACAAATTATGCTGCTAGCTAATTCACAGACCATAATGACTACTGCATCATGTTTTATATTTGAGATTACATATAAATATATATATATGTATATATGTATATATATAATATATATATATAAATATTTTAAATATGATGTCAGTCATCCCAAAGGTAGGACATTTACAGTTCTTCCAGCTTGGGATCTTATGGGCCTTCTTCAGAAAATCACTTTGGTACATGCTTAGCTTTAAAACACTTGCATAAATCCATGCCTTTTCAACATAATATTTAAGCACATGCTTAAATTCTATGGATTGCGATAGAATTTAAACATGTAGTTAAACGCTTTGCTGAGTCAGCCCAGTCCCTAACTATATGATCGTATGGTTTTAAATAGCTCCTTTAAAGTCCCACAGGGGAAGGAGAAAGGTTCCATGCCTGGAGAAAACCTGGTTTTTATTTTTTGAAGCTATGCATGTTATAAGGTGGCATTTTAATACAGGAACATGAGGTTTTTTTTGTTCCTTATTTTTTCAAACACATTTCCTAAACTTGGAGAACTTTAATGACACTAGAGGTAAGAGTAAACTGTTGAAATGATTTAGCACTGCAGAGGTGACTCTAAATACAATCAGCAACTTTATGGAAAATATAAGGTATGTTAGTAGCACTAAGATCTCATTACAGAGGGTTCACAATGTGTTTCTCTTGTTTTCCTTCTGAGTTGCTAAAAACAAATAAATATAAGGAAATTAAACTGGGAAACAGCATTACTGAAACATTAAGACTGAGAAATCAAGTGCCCAAATTAGAAAGAGCTAAGATTTCTACTGCATTATTAACTCAGCACCATAATAATTAAGTAGCACTTTTCTGTTCCTACTTTCCTTGTTAAGTGCAAACAATATATTACTGTTTGTTTTTAGCATATCCCATTTATCACTCATGTTCTTCTGAAGCTTAGCCTTCATTAATATTAATACTATACTTTCAACTTTGGCAGTTTTCTTACCTGTAAATGAATTCTTACATAGTCTCTTCTGCCAGATTGCTTCATTGTATCATATAAATATTACATACAAATTAAATAAAGAGATGCTATGGAGTTTTTAGTTAAATGCTTATGTTATGGTACTGCAAATCTTACAGGTGTCCCATACAACCTTCCTTCAGTCACTTTTTCATCAGGCCAGCATTCTGTGAAAAAACATCACATAATACCATGCACCAATTTGAAACTAGTGCATAAACTAGTGGGAGCTAAATTAAGTTTGTGTAGGTAATACTAAATCTGGACTACTACAGTACCGAAGTTTTGAGTTCTAATCTCTGCAACCAAAACAGCTCCTAACTATATTTTGTACATCTAATTACCAGGATAAAAATAATTTAAAAAAAAATGACCTATTGTAAAGAACAGATGTTTCTGCAGCCACAGTTCATTAGGTATCATAAGTACCATGTGAAACCCAAGCATCCAGCGTAAATTACTACAGCTTATGCTAGAGGATTAACTAAATTAATGAACAGCAGAAGACTATTACCACAGAGCAGCAGACGGTTTGGGAGCAGAAAGAAAGCAGTGAAGATGCTCAAGCACCCTGGGTTTGCTCCCTCCTGGAGCACATTCCAGGCCCTCGGGGAGTAAAGATGGATAGCTTGATCCATGTGCTCTGCTTGGAAAGATGTGGTAGTGCAGGGACATCACTTAGTTTTGTGTGCAGCAGCTTCTTGGCATTGCCTGTGCAGGCATACATGCTGCTTTTTCTTCACAGTACCCTGAACCCACATGATGTGCATTTTTCAACTGAGGAGAAAACTTTGGTTCTAAACACGTTTAAGCTCAATTCAAGCTTCAAAGGAATTTCCTGGGACAAAGAAAAGCATATCAATAGCTTCAGGGGATTTTATGACAAACAATGGGAGGATAAAACTTCACAAAGTTTTGAGAATAAGGAGTGATGCACTAGGTAAATGAATGGGTCTCTATCATTGCTTTATATGACAATACAGAGAGCTGCTCAGCTTTCTCATGTAAATGAGCTAAGGGCTTTTGGAACTAGCTCTC